AGGGGGGGAGGAGGAACCGAGAGACCTCGACTGGGGTACTTGACGTAGTACGGAGTGGACTCCTCGAAACGGACGGCACGGGAGTCAAAGAACCGGTGAGAGGGAGGGTGGTAAAAGGTGAAGTCAGAGGAGTCCTCAGGGAAACCAAGGAAGACACAGGGGACGGCACGAGGCGAGAGCTTGTCCGCGGAGGTGTCGCGGACAAGAGCCAAGCACCCCCAGACACGAAACCGCGACGCAACACCAGGGGACCCTGTCCAAAGACTGGTCGGTGAAACCTCTGGTCGAGAGACACGTGGCCAGAGGTTCAGCTGGTGCGCGGCGTACCTGACCGCGTAGGGCCACAGAAAATGGGGGGCACAGGCGTGAGTCAGGGAGGTGCGGGCGATCTCCATGACCAGGCCTATGCGGCGCTCAGCAACCCCATTCTGCTGTGGGGACTCTGGAAGCGTCCAGGACTGACGAATGCCCTGCTCGCGACAGAATCCAGCGAGAATGCCGGAGCAAAACTCACCCCCACGGTCGGAGTGGAGACAGCTGACACGACGACCACGAGTGTCCTCAGTGGTGAGCAACCACCTGATCAGCGTAGAAGTCACCTCAGACTTCTTCGCCAGAGGGAACACTGTGGTGTAGCGGGAGAAGTCGTCAACGACCACCAGAAAGTAACGCTCACGCTCAGGGCCTAGACGAGGGGCTGGGCCCCAGACGTCCAAGTGAAGCGTCTCAAAAGGCTCGGTGGCCGGACGAAGGGAGGAGGAGTGAGGGGTGGCGCGCAGCCTACCCTCGACGCAGGGACGACACGGCGGCGCAGGCGAAGGCGGCAGCGACGGCAAGACACGTGGGAGGCCTAGGACAAGACGCTGACTAGACATAGCGCGCAGACGTGGAAGGGACGGGTGCCCCATCCGGTGGTGCCACAGAACGGTGGGGTGGGCAAGCGACCGGCAGGAGCACGACGCAGCGACTGGAACAGACGTAGGAACCTGACACGACACAGACACCTGGGGGGACGTAGCAACCTGGTGAGACGCGGGGACCCGAACGGGGGGGGGAACCGGGGGCAGTGGCAGTAGGGGGGGCTGCTGGTGCGACCGCTGGTTCTGCTGCTGCTGCTGCTGCTGCTGCTGCTGCTGCTGCTACGGCTGCGGCTGCTGCTGCTGCTGCGGCTGCTGCTGCGGCGCACGCGGGCCAGTGTGAAGAGTGTAGAGACCCGAGCCCGGCTCAGCAGTAAAGGTAGCAAGAGGCTGGTAAGAGTCTCCGTCAACACACACCGCAGTCTCTCCAGAAGGCTCAAACCACACACCCACGTGCTGACTCACGAGGGGTCGCACGCCCACCAAGTTCCGGGAGAACGAGGGGACGTGAAACCCAGTGAGAGACCCGGAGGGAGCAGCAGGACACGGTAAAGTGGTAGTGTGACGTGCAGTGACTGGTCCCGTAGTGGGATCAGCCAACGCTACAGAAACAGGCGCAGGAAGTGGTGTAAGTGTCGTGCTGTCCCGAAAGAAGCAGTGGGAGGCTCCAGAGTCCAGTGTGAACGACAGCGAAGCGTCCTCTGAGGTAGTCGCTGGTCTAGAGTCTACACAAGTACCTACACTAGCAACAGGCAACTGAGCAAGACTAGCACCTAAGCTAACAACACCAGAGTAAACAGAGTCAGAAACACTAGAGTCAACAACAGCATACATAGCATGAGGAGCACTAATCAGATCAACTAACTGCTCAGCAGACATGCCCCACAGAGCGGAGCCGTAGCGCTGAACCAGAGGAAGCCAGTCAGGAGCAGGACCGCCAACCCCGTAGGTCAACCGGACCGTGTCAGTGAGCTGAGCAAAGCACTGACCAGGGGGGTGAAAGCGGCTTCAAGGGTGGCCCCGAGGAGGACCTGTCTGAACCTGGTAGGGGCAGGGAGGGTAAGCAGCACCGCGCTGGGGCTGACGCAGCCCCGACCCCGGAGCCAGCTGCTGACGCTGCTGCTGCTGAGGCTGCTGGGAGGAAAGGGGCTGCTGCTGCTGCTGAAGGTGCTGCTGACGCTGAGCCTGGTACCACGCCGCTGCTCCACCTAGCGGGGCCGGCAGTACAGGAGGCGACTGACGAGCTCGAGGGTCGCCGCCACCAGCAGGTGCAGTGGAGTCACCAGCCGCTGCACGAGGGGTCTCTCCAGACGCTGCATTCCCACCACCGCCAGTCGCAACAGCACCCCCACTACCTCCGCTACCTCCGCCTCCACCTCCACCGGAACCACCTTTCTTGCCCCCCCTGCCGCGGGACCGCGACGCAGTCGTAACAGCAGCCGCAGTCGCGTCAGTAGCGGCAGTGGCAAGAGAGGCAGTGAAGGTGGGTAACTGCGGGACTGTGCACCCGTGGAAGAGTGGGGGGGACACATTACCAGAGGCGGCAGCTACCGAACGAAGGTTGCTCTCGACGTCCTTGAGTGCAGACTCAAGGACCTCGATAGTCAGCTCACTAGGGTGCTTCAGCAGAAGCGCGTCACGAACGGAGGCAAGGCGGTCAGGGAGGCTAGTGGCGATGAAATAGACAGTAATCGCCATGGGGGGAGGAAGCAGTGCAAGCTGTGCCTCAGTGCAAGCAGCGCGGTAACTAGCGTCAAGCGAGCGGAGGTGAGCGATCAAGTCAGCAGAGCGCTCAAACGAGGCAAGATCAGGAAACAGGAACGGGAGGAAAAGACGGCCGAGAGAGACAGTAGCGGGAGTAGAGTAGCGGGCCTTAATCGCAGTGAGGTACGCAGCAGCGGTGCGAACCTGAGTAAAGTGGACCTCCTCGGACTCAGGGAGGAGGCTGCTGAGTGCGATGCAGGCCGCAGCGTCACGCGACGTCCAAGCCGTCCGGTCAGCGCGCTGACGGGCAAAGCGAGCCGTAGCAGCGTCGTCAGGAGCAGGGCCTAAAGCTGTAGGCTCGGGGGGCTCGGGGAGGTCACCAGTAGCGTGTGACCAGAGGGTCTCGCCCCCCTGGACCTGACTCTCTAACAGACGACGAGCGCGAAGAAGCCAGACGGAAAAGTCAAGGGGTCTACCGTCGGCGTCGAAACGAAGAACTCGCGGAGTCGCCATAGTGAGAACCAACGCGAACGAACAGGCGAGTAACAACCGGGGGGGAAGAGGACTCAGTCGCAGCGGAAGAGCGGGCTAGGGCGACGGGCCAAGACGTATGGTAGGGCAACGGGCCAGGGCCTAGGGTAGGGCGACGGGCCAGGGCCTAGGTAGGGCAACGGGCCAGGGCCTAGGGTAGGGCGACGGGCCAGGGCCTAGGGAGGGCGACGGGCCAGGGCCTAGGGAGGGCGACGGGCCAGGGCCTAGGGAGGGCGACGGGCCAGGGCCTAGGGAGGGCGACGCGACGGGGGAAAGGGCGGGAGCGACGCGACGGGGCAGGGCGACGCGACGGGACAGGGCGACGCGACGGGGCAGGGCGGCGCGACGGAGCAGGGCGACGGGACAGGGCAGGGCGACGCGACGGGGTAGGGCGACGCGACGGGACAGGGCGACGGGACAGGGCAGGGCGACGCGACGGGACAGGGCGACGGGACGGGGGGGGTAACAGGCGGGCGCGACGCGACGGGGGGAACGGGCGCGACGCGACGGGGGGGAACGGGCGCGACGCGACGGGGGGAACGGGCGCGACGCGACGGGGGGAACGGGCGCGACGCGACGGGGGGAACGGGCGCGACGCGACGGGGGGGAATGGGCGTGACGCGACGGGGGAGATGGCGCTAGGCTCGGTACTAGGCGCGGTAACAACGAAACTGGTACGAACGAGATGTAGGATCAGGCTCGGGAGGTACGAACGGAGAACGGAGGAACGGGATCCCACAGGATCCTAACCTAGCTGATACCATGTCTGAATGAGGAATGAATGTTCCATTGATGTTGGTTGGGGTACATATGACAAACCCTAACTTCTGTACCCCCTAAGACAAACCTCACTACAGGCTACAACATTTGACACGATGGTGGTGGACATTTGGCGGCGACTGGAGAAGAATGCAAGGGAGTGCTGAGGAGGAAAAGGAGACGGGAAAGTGAAGCATGGGTTGAGGGTTCTGGTTAGGGCGCATGTGGTCTTACAAATTTGTGAAAGTTATGTTTTTAGGTCGAATGTAGCATTTGAACAAAACTCGACTTTCTTTCCAGCGAAGTTCGAATCTTGAGTCACAATCACACACCCAAGGTCGAACACAGAGATTAGACCTTTTAGGGATGGCGGCGAGCCGCCCGTAGGGGAGTAGGTTACCTGGTACAGCGCGACACGTTAACGTAATGCGCAACGAAACTCAACGACCTTCGCAAAGCGGTCGCGATTATCGGATGACCTTCGTACGTGCTGAAAACAACACACACTCGCCTTACGTGCACCCGCACGTTCACTCGAACTTATGTGCCCCAAAATTCTCATGCCTTCGCCAAAGCTTCCTGACGACATTAGCGAAGCTGGTAACCACACTAAGTTCGACCTTTTTCCCGAACTTGAAAATAGATCACACGCGCCCTTAGCGTTTCATCCACCGAATCCGCATTGCGGATAATATCGAATAAAGATATACATTGAATCTTCCTCTGCATGTATAGGCTTACTAATGAGTGCAATTTCTTGCAATAACTATTTCACCAGCTTATGTTCTGAAGTTTTTTACCAGTATCAATCACAGCCATAAGGCCTTCCATTGAGGATTGTTCATACTTGGCCAAGTGCAAACCAGTCACCATGCAATCTGCAAATGGTACAGCTGTTTGAAAAGGAAAGCAACGGGCCGTACTGCTGAACAATGAGCACGCATAGAATTGCACCTAGTACAGTACTATAATAAGCAAGGAATACAAACTTCTTGTGGTGCAACAACATTCAGAACAGTTGCAGACTTGCAGTGCTCCCAAGCTAGCATATGCAATCACTCATGCACTGCTGTAATACACGCATGTGCTGCGCGTGGTTGTGCTTTCTGAGTAGCATCGCTGTCATGTCAACAACAGAGCATGACGACTCTAATAACAGGTCAAGCAGGGATGATTGCGATTATCGTTTCCCACACCACTCACCGCACGCTGCTGCAAACCCTGACTTAATCTGGCCTCTCCAGCAGTAGTGACAGCACCAGCTGGGGATGCAGCAGGCATCGCCCCAGCACCACGGGAATGCTGACCTGGAATCACCCACATCTCGCCAGCTGGCTGGCTCTGGCCACGCCACGTCATCCAGTTTCGAGGCCCAGCAGAAGAGATCGGAGCGAGGTGAGCATGTTGGGGAGGTGTCGGGTAGGGATGGAGCGAGGAAGGAAGGGAGGGGTTTTGGTGACGAGTGTAGGAGCAGGCATCTGGAGGAGAGCAGCAGGGTAGGAAGCAGGCAGTGAATGGAAACATGGCAGGGTGATGATGGGCGTGTGGGGACTGGCGGAATGAAGGATGGGTCAGTGACGGCTGCACCAAGTGCGGGAAGGAGGGAGGCACGGCTGCAGGAAAAGCTGCTCGAGATGACTGAGATTGGCTGGTGTAAGGGGGGTGAGGGAGAGCAGCAGGAGGCGGTGTTGGAGGAGGAGCAAGGGGAGGAGGGTGCAACGAGCTGGTGGCGTGAGCGTGTGGTGTGGATGAAGTTTGCGGAATAGAGGTGGGGGTAGCAGAGGAGCAGAAAGAGGCAGTGAGGGAGGTGGCGGAGTGGGAGTGCACGAGGAGCGTCGAGGCTGCATGCGAGTGGGATGGCACGTGCGAGTGGGATGGAGCTTGTGAGGCTGAGGCTGCTGGGTGGGTGGAGTGCGAAGAGGAAGGGGACGTTGCGGGGAAGGAGTGGGTGGAGGTGGGGGTCGGGGGTGCCATGAAGAGCAGCTTGGCAATCACACGGTCCACAGCGTTGGAGTCAGGAACATGGGTGTTGGAGTGGGCTTGTGAAGCGACTTGCTGCTGCTGCTGCTGCTGCCCGGGTTCTTGTTTCTCCTGCTGCTGTTGCTGTGCCTGCAGTTTATGCTGCTGTTGTTGCTTTCCACTGGCAGTGACGGGGGTGACAGGGGAGGCAGCATCTGCAGTGGCGGTGGGATTCAAAGCCGCCTGGCCTGTTTGAGCGGTGCGGCTTGGTGTATTGGTGGATGCAGGGTCAGCAACTTCGCCAGCAGAAGGTGCAGTAGAAACACAGGTTGATCTCGCCGCATCCGCAGCAGCAGCAGCAGCAGCAGCAGCAGCAGTGTTCGAAGCATTACCATCGGTAGCAGAACATTCGCGCACAGAAGCAGCAGGTGAAGCAGGAACAGAGGTGGTGCCGGTGGCGGCAGATTGTGACATGGCACGGGATTGAGCGCTGGTGGCAAGGCGGAGGAGGGCACTGCGAATGCAATCACGGGTGGTGACGTCGAGCTGGAAGGAGCGAGCAACGTAGGGAGAGGGGCACAAAAACAAGAGAGGCACAACATGAGGAGAGGCGCGACGAGAGTCTCATGGATTGAAGTTACAACGAAATGCAAACAGCAAGAAGAGTAAAGGGATGCAGCTTTGCTAGAAATGAAGGAAACGGACCAGCAACACTTCGCGATACTGGAAAAAGGAAAACAGAGTAAGGTGCAAGCAAGCACCAAAGGAGAGAGTGAGAGGGTGGCCTCACCTGAGCAATGGTAGAATAGAGCTGGCCCAAGGCGGCAGACTCGACTTCCATGCCTTCTTCCCCGCACTCCATCGAACCAGCTCTCTCGTTAACTGCTGGCCCAGCTCCTCCTGCCGACCGTCTTGCTGACTCTCTTGCTGCTGCATCGGTGGAGGAAGCGGCATGCTGCAGTGAGGGCTCCTTGGCCTGACACCCATCCTGCTGCTCCGCTTTCACTGCTGCCTCTGCCATGAAAGCATCCCCTGCCTTGGCTTCTCCCTCGGGCTCGGTCCTAACAGTCTCCTCTGCTGTCCTGAGACGTTTGCTTCGCCCCTGTCCAACTGCGTCCGTTCCACCCACCTCCACCATCTCCTGCTGTGCCTCACGGGCCCTCTTCTTCCCCTCGTTACAGTCACGTCCTATCTGGTTTTCACTGAAGTCCGTTGCTGCAGGTGCGGCTGCAGGTGGGGAAGGAGCAAGTGAGGCGTCGGCCTGGACAGGACGAGCAGATTCACCAGGGTTTGAAGATGCGCGTGCAGTGGTGGCAACAGGTGCAGACAGTGCGGCTGTATCACCTGTTGCACCAGCAACAGCGGCAGCTGGCGTGCAAGGGCGGCTATCGCCGCTGCGGGTCGTGTCGTCCCCACCTGCTTCTTGCTTCGCGCGTACAACAGGTTGTGGGTTTGTCTCGCCCGTCCTGTGCATGTTCAATGGCTTCTCCTGCTGCTCTGCTTTCAGCACCTCGTTCTGCTTCTCCCGCTGCTTATCCTGCTGCTGCTGCTGCTGCTGCTGCCTCTGTTGCTGCGTGCGCATCAGCTGCTGCTGCCGGTGAAACAGGTACATCTGCCGACCCAGCAGTTGCTGCTCCTGCTGAGAGCTAGTCCCCTGTTGGGCCTGACGCACCCACATCTGCTTGCTCATCCACCCATCAGCGAGCTGGGCACCTTTCGCGCTTCCAGCTGCCCCTGCGGATCCTCGCACTCCTCCCATGGGAGGAAATGCTGCTGCCGCCACGGCAGCAGCAGTAGCAGTAGAAGAAGGAGCACGAGAAGACGCAGCAGTTACTGTTGGAGCTGATGCTGCTGATGCATGCGCAGCAGCTGATGCAGTGGAGTGCAGCCGGGATTGGTAGAAGAATGGAGGAGGGTATGGTTGACCCATGCTGCCACCTGGGAAGAACGCGGGTGCCGGCATGGTGGTACCAGGGAAGGGCATGAGAGTGCGAGCAGGCATGTGAGGAGGCACAGGCCCAACGGCAGCCATACGAACAGCATTCCCTGTAGACGCGACTGTGTTTGCGCTGATAGGTGCGCTGATGGGTGCATTGCTGGGTGGATTCACCGCAGCAGATGCAGCGACTCGACTGGGCGTTGATACCTTCGCTGATGCGCCTGCAGCACCAGCACCCGCTGCCTCGCCAGCAGGGCTACTAGCAGCACCAGAGGTACCAGCGGCGGCAGCACTGCTAGCAGAGGCCGCGGCACCAGCAGCGCCAGCTAAGAAGCTCGCGGGCATGGGGGGAAGGGGAAGCGCGGCTGCGGGATAGGCCTGGTGGTAGTTGGCGAAGAAGGGCAGGCGCGGATAGGGCGGCAGCCCGCGCTGCGCGGATGGCGCAGGCGCGAGCGGGGGCGCAGGGAAAGGAGAGGGGCTAGGCGGGAATGAGAGGCCCGGTTGTGAGGGGTACGGGACGGTGCGATGGGTGGGAGGGGCGGGAGGGAAAGCGCAGGGATGGGAGGGCAACGGGGACGAGGTGACGGCGGGAGCAGCGGGGGAGAAGGCGGGTGACGAGGGGAGGCGGCGGAACGGTGACGGCCGGATGCTTCGAGCGGGAGTGCCAGAGGAATTGGGAGGAGTGGGGGTGCAGCGGGCAGGAGTGGGGTTGGTCCGCGGAGGGGTGGCGTTGGAGCGGGGAGGAGTGGTTATCTTGGTGGTACGCGTGGCTGTGGTGGCGGTGGCAGAAGTGGTAGCTGTAACGGCGGCAGTAGACGATGCGGCGAGAGCGGGACGGGAGGATGTGGGAACAGTGCGAGTACAGGAGGACGATGCAGGGCTCGTACCCTGCTGTTGTTCTTGCTGCTGATGCTGCTCCTGTTTATCTTGCTGTCGTGGCTGCTGCTGTTGCTGCTGCTGTACCCGCTGCATCTGCATATGCTGGATCTCCAATTTCGACCGTGTCACAGCATCCCGCGTGGCCTGCACATTCCACAAAATTACCCGTCAGTTCGATTAATACAAGGTTATGCGTCAACGTCAGTCACGTAACGCGAGCGGGTAAGTAAGCCCACAACGTCGGAACCCTTATCAAACTCACCTGCAGAAGCGACAGGCGTTGCGGAATGCTGACGCGCGAAGGTGACGGCGACCGAAGCAAAGAATCGTAAAGCCCTCCCGCATTCGCACAATGAATGTCAGCACCGAGGGGAGCCTCCACGACGCTAAGCTTCTCAACCGTGTCGCGAGCCCTCTCCGTGCCACCTCCCTCCGTCGCCTCCGCAACAGCCGTGGCTGGAACCGTTGCACATTTCGCGTTTGCGCCGTCGCCTTCGCCTCGTCGCTCAGATTCGCATACCCCGCGTCGACGCGCGGCTTCGAATTCGCCAGCCGGGCCTTCCCAGAGCAACTTCCCCGCGTCCGCCGTTCCGGGTGAGGCCGCGGAAGCGTGAATGTGGGAGAGAATTCCGGCGATGGAAGACTGCAAGTGATGCTGGCCTGTCGCAGAACCGGATTGGGCGTGCCTCGCGGTCTGGTACGACGATCTGACGCGGCGCGAGAAGAGCAGGTGAAACGGTGGAAGAGGATAGAAGTGAATGACATGTCTCACTTCGTCCTTTGCAATGGAAAAGCAGGAAAATTAAGAGCGGGATGCGGCGCAATGTTGGCAGAAATGAGGAGCGGCGAGACAAAGAAACCGTGTCACACGCACCTGAGAATTGCCTCGAGATTGCCGGTGTGGTCGCACGCATCCCACGACGCACCCAGAACGTCGTCTCCCTCCAAAAGGTCGCCATCCATGTCGCCTTCCATGTCGCCGTCGCACGGGCCAGCCAGATGGTCGCCGTCAGTCGCAACATTTCCACCAATCACGTCGTTCAGCTCCATAATCGTGAAAGCATCTTCCGTGCATTGCGGAGCTCCCGTGAGACCGCATTCGTCGATTTCTTGAGGGAGCTGATCGCGAGATTGAGTAAAACCCGTGGCTCTAGAGGCAGACGCATTGTTCGGGGTACCGGGAAGAAAAACTTCAGATTTTCCGCTTTCAGTCGGCGACGTGCTGAAGGTGGGATTTTGCGGACGCGGAAACGCATTATCGTTGGATGGTCTAGGCGTTTTCTGCTCGTGTCTCTCCGAATGCGTTGTCTGAGCAGACGTCCCGTGTACATCGTCGTGCAGAGCGACCGGCTCCTCCGCACCGAATGCCTCCCACACTCGGTCATCGAACTGCGGGATGATTAAGGAGGAAAGGAACGAATGCAGTTGTCAACACGAGGAGTACCGACACATAGGCTGAGATTTTCCCATAAATTCGAAAAGAGAATTTGTATGAGGCGGCAGAACAAAGAAAATATGAATGCGGCTACGTTCCGGTCCTCGCAGAAGCTACATATCGCCGAATTTCAAATTAAACTGTCAAGAACAAGTTCCTTCAAGTTGAAGGCCGCAAGGAATATTCACAGAACGGAAAGGTGATGAATATGCGAGGGACATGGCTCGAATATAACTATAAGTTGTTCTCACCAAGGGGATTCCTTGAATTGTTACGTCTCCTTCATCTGACGGCCAGATTGGCGTGGCCATGGTTTTCTCTGAAGTTCCTTCAGTGCAAAACCTGTGAGCAAATCTGCTCAGAACGAAAGAATCAGAAGCGAGTTCTTTGCGGAATCAAATTGGCTACAATGTGAGGGTAAAAACGGCCAGTCAAGAATAGCTGTGGACTAGTGTCACGGAAAGCGAGGAAGTGAATGACCAATGCAATTTGTTTGAGCTCTTGAGACACAACCTCAGAGGATCTCCAACAAATCACCTGGCTTGAGCGCTTCTTTATGGCTGCATCAGAAGGTCCTCCAACATGGAGCATGATTGTGGAACGCTGGCGACAGCAATTCGCGCATAAGCACCGCATGCGAAGCATTGCGAAAACAGCTTCCGTGAGCACGAAGGCAGTCGCGAAACCCTTGCGATTAATTCATAGCAGGGGCATATGATGGCAGGGGCTGGAGAAAGTTTGGAAAATCAGATCGAAGTCTACACAGATAGTTGCCCAATTTATAACAATTTTACAGGCTGCACCAGGATTCGTACCCTGGTCGTGATGGATCCGCGACGTTCTTACATAATCCCCGCTCAACTTATCACATTCTTAACCAGAAATGCCGTCCGTAAGATTAACATCTTAAGCCATATATATAAAACCTGCAGTTAAGCTGTCCGGATCTGAAAAGTGTTCGGACTGAGCTCGGACACTGACGTATTGGGTTTTGAAGCAAGCCGCGTATTCCGAGACCCCCAAAATAATGGGACATGCCGAGTACACCCTCAATCCTTGTTGTGATTGTTTGGCTGTGCTTTGCTGTGAACATCTTTTTTTTTTTCCGCTGGTCAGCGTCAGTTGGTTTGACCATCTCGATACTGTACCGAAATCTGCCTCTCCTGTAAACAATCTTCCAACAAGATCGGAAACAACAAGCTGTCCCAACATTGCTTGACCGCACAGACGTCAAGGGATGTGTATTGTTTTGTAGAGTTGACGTCGAAGGAGGCTGATTTCCAGCGGGAGTTGAACTGCTCATTGCACGTTGTTTTTTTAATGGGGCAGTCCCCACGTGACCGTGCATGTTTCAATGATTGTGTGGAAGGCTCGGAATAGATTCTCGTGGGCTTGATTTGGGGAAAGCGAAAGAATAGAACCGACGAAACCAAATACACCCTCTTTCTCGCCATTGTGAATTCGGTTATAGTGAAGTCAAGATGGGAAAAGCACGGTTAACGGTGGTTAGATTAAGTCTAGGTATGGTTCAATCAGACAGATCGAAGGTAACTAGGTTTTCCATCAGTTCAGCACAGTTCAGTGTAGTGAGAAACAGGGTGTACCAAATTGCACTGGGCCGCAATCTCGGTAAGGTTTTTATCGAATCATAAGGTGGGACGTACGTGCACTGCTGAAGGGCAGAATTGTGAACCGAGCTGCCAGCAAGGCAGGACTGCTCACGTGCCTGTTGCCACCTTCACGGCCAGCTGGAACCAAGGACAGCCAACACAAACGAGAAGTGGCAGAGCAGGATGAGGGGCAGATCCCTCGCCATGGGATGGGATGGGATGGGATGGGATGGGATGGGTAATGGGTGGGTGGGAGGGATGGGGTCATGGGACAGCCCTCCCCCGACACCCCCTCCTCCCCCACGCCTTTTGCAGTCCCTCCGCCCCCTCCCTCCCTCATCCCCTCTCCCCCTTATCACCTTCCCGCCACTCACCTTCGCCAGCAGCCGTCAGAATAGCTTCGGAAGTACTGTAGAAGTACATTGCTTTATTGCCAGAAGACCACGCAGTCCCACCGAGCCAGACCCCCCCTTCCGAACACCATCCGTCCATCATGCAGTCATCCGGAGGAGCACGAGAGGAGCAGGAAAAGAGCTCTTAGTCTGAGAAGAAGCGACGCCGTGGTCCGTGCACTGGTTGTCCAGTTGCTCTGCTTCTGACCATCTGCTCGGTTCGTGAATCACGCGGAAAGGCAGTCCAGTTTTTCTGTGCTCTTCGAAGCAGCAGCATTGCGAAAGCACACTGTACAGTAAGTGTTCAAGTTCAAGGAGATTCTGGGATTTTGCTCTTTGACAGCTGCTTGACGGCTGACACGAACACAGTCACTGTTTATATTAAACTCACGTCCTTTTGTACCATATATGATGGGCCGTCATGTACAGCATGGTCTCCCAGCTCCTTCGCGAAGCGCGCCGGAAGGAGAAATTCACGAACGAGGAAATGTCCTAGAAATCTGGGAAGTGATTGCTCAGGGGTGGTGCAGCTGCACGAGACCTGGAAGGAGACTTTCTTCTGTTCCAAAAACTACGCATACGCTGACGGTCACACGATTGTCTTCTACTGGACTCTTCCACTCTCTCGAAGCTCTCAAACAGAACCGATTTTGCACGATAGGCTTGATATTCATCCTCCACATTCTTGTCTTCGTCTCCGTGGACTCGGTTTCGCATATGTAACCTTTTCCTTTGATTCGGGGTGGTTTCTCAGCATTACTTCTCGACACGTTCTCAAAAGCTCAAATATTCGCTAGAACATTTGTTCAGGCCTTGGACTTCGCCAGAAACCTCTTCGTTTGGCTCACCCAAGGTAGGCTGACCAGGACCCAAAAACGAGCTGTTTCGCCATTCCACTTCTAAAGAACGGCTATTTCTCCTGAAGTTTCGGGTTGACTGGACGGCCGAAGTGTTTCGCACTGCCTGATCCTCTCGTAGAAGGCACTGTTTTGCCTTGCACGCACGGAAATAGTCCAACTCAGATCCGCGTTGTTTTTAATCGCATATTGTAGAACGAAGAAAGGGACATTCCACGCGGCACTTGTCACTAGGAGAGAGAGCGGCTATGAGCACTGGACAGAATGTCGGCGATGGGAGAACCTGTCCAAGGGGTACCCGTCCCTCCAGGTCGAGTTGCCTGAGACAGTAGGCAGGTAACTTATATAACATCCGTTACTTGGGCGACTATACAGGACGCAGAACCGTTTATCTATGGACATCACACTGCATCTCGTGACGTGACGTCGATGCGGCAAGCAGAAAGGCAAGGACAAGGCGGCAACTTAGCAAGTAGTTCTCACGCAATTCCTCTTGTGTAAGGGCGTATTCCTGCACTTCGGGTCATCAGCACTTCGGGTCATCCGAGATTGTGGGATCCAATCGGAAAATCGGAATGCATCCCAATCTCTTGATTCCGAATTTCCGATTGGATCCCACAATTTCGGATGGCCCGAAGTGCTGATGACCCGAAGTGCTGATGACCCGAAGTGCTGATGACCCGAAGTGCAGGAATACGCCCTAAGGCTTGTTGGAATGAGCCAGTACGGTAAAAACGATCTCACAGAAAATAACGGAGCAGAAACAGTTTTACCGAAAAGAAAGGAGCAGCGCCACAGAAGTCCAAGCTACCTTGCACCAGAAGTAAGGTGAAACGTTGCTGGCAGGGAAGTAGCAACCTTAGTAGGCTAGGAAAAAGAGGATAGAGTGCTCTTTGGAGTTCTCTGGAAATTGCACTATGACTTCACAAATTTCACAGTACAATTTTATAGAGCACATTCAAATATCGAGTCGCACTCCCAAGTCGCGACTCTCTCTGAATGTAAGGAATTTTCCTGAATTCCTTATCGTGGTCGACTGCTTCGCATACAACCCGATTTTCGGAGTTCGCACGCTCGGCCGATTTCAACGCTGCCAAGCTCCTCGCGTCGCCTTCGGCATTTCCATCGCCACACCCGACCTCGCTTGTCCGAGGTTTCCTCCTAGCTAGGCTAGCCCTACATTAGTCTGTGCGTTCATTGTTTTCGCAGTTCATTCAGTCACAGCCTCGTTATTCATTTACCTGCGCACTCTCTTTTACAACTCATAACACTTGTTATCAGAGCTACTTTCCTAGTTCACCCCGCTTTTCGAGGGTAGTTTGGTGGCGCGGGTGTGGTTGGTTTAGTGACTACACGACGGTTGGTTGCAGGGATTGTTAATTCAATCCTGCCCGACTCGGTACTTCGTGTTTTCACTTGCCGGGAGGCCACGGGTACCCGATTGCCCACCAGACGTAGTGCTAGGCACATGGATCAGGAGGCTGTCAACCGGCTGATGGCGCAAATGGCAGAAATGAAGCAGGGCATGGAATCGTTAATGGCGGAAGTGACAACGTTACGGGAGGAAAACGCCGAGCTACGTCAGAGGCGAGGTGAAGCGCGTCAGGAGTCGCCTGTGGATGAAGGCGAGGGCAAAAGTCAAGCGATGAGCAATCCGCTGGATGCGCTCACACGTGACTTCGAAGAAGAAGATAGGCAGCGAGCGGCAGCCGCGCCAGTTGCAGTGACGACGATCAAGATAAAGCCCGCCAACCCG